ATAATGGATGGTGATTTGACTTATGATGTGGAGCCGGTGGCCATTTTGGCTCGGCATGTTCGAAAGTTGAGGTCTAAGGACATAGCTTCAGTGAAGGTGCAGTGGAGAGGTTAGTTAGCTGAGGAGGCTACATGGGAGACCAAGCGGGAGATGCAGAGCAGATATCCATGTATATTTGAGATTCCAGGTACGTTTCTAGACCCGTTCGAGGACGAACGCTTGTTTAAGAGGGGGAGGATGTAACGGCCCGACTGGTCATTTTGAGAGTTGTAGCCTCGTTCCCCCATTTACTGCTCATTTTATGCTACACAGTTGTTATGTGACTTGTCAGGGTAGTTGGTTTAGGTCCGGAGAGGTTTCAGAATGAATTGAGACATCTCAAGGTTCGATGAGTTGATAATATTAACCAGATATTGATTTATATATAAACGACTATGGAATGGAGTTCTGATGGATCTGCTCCATTGGGTGATTTTGGACTTAGGAGCAAGTTTGGATAGTGATTTGGAGGTCCGTAGTTGAATTAGGCTTGAAATGCCGAAAGTTAAAAATTTAGAAGTTTGACCGATAGTTTACTTTGTGGTTACCGGGCTCGGATTGGGGTTCCGGTAGTTGGAGTAGGTCCGTTGTGTCATTCTTGACTTGTGTGAAAAATTTGAGGTCAATCGGACGTGATTTGATAGGTTTCGGCATCAAATGTAGAAGTTAGAAGTTCGAAAGTTTATTAGGCTTGAAACGATGTGTGATTCATGGTTTTAGCATTGTTTGATGTGATTTGAAGGCTCGACTAAGTTCGTATCGTGTTTTAGGACTTTTTGGTATGTTTGGTTGAGGTCCCACGTTCCTCAGGAGTATTTTGGTTTGAAATCAGATTGGATTTTTGGAAATTTTGAAGGCCGGTATGTTCTGGTTTGGTTCGACCACACTTGCGAGGGAAAGGCCGTGGGTGCGGAGTTGCAGAAGCGGCCCTGGGGTTGCAGATGTGGTTCTGGGCGAAGTGAGGGTTTTCGCAGGTACGAGGAAAAATTCTGCACCTGCGATCTTGAAGATGCCGAGGCTGGTCGCAGAAACGGGGATGAGCTTGGAGTCGCTGGTCCGTAGAAGCGGATGGGCTTGCGTAGATGGGCACCACAGGAGCGGGATTTGGGGCCGCAGAAGCAGTTAGTAATCCCTTAAGTGACCTCCGTATATGCAAATTATTGAATACCGCAAAAGCGGATTTTTGGACCGCAGAAGCGAGAAAGCCTATTTTGAACATTTCAAGCTCGGGATTAGGCAATTTTTGAGAGGTATTTTGAAGGGATTCTTGATGTAAGTCACTTGTGGTTAAATTTATTCAATAATTATGTTTCCCCATTGAATTTCCCACCCAGATTGTGTGATTTTGAGGTGTAATTTTGGGAGTTTGAGGATAGAGATTTGTATAGTTTAAATAGGGGATTTGGGTTTCAATTTGGTGTTGGATTTTGGTAAATTTGGTATGATTGGACTCGTGGTTGAATGGGTTTTCGGATTTTGTCTTTTATTGGATTCTGAGACGTGGGCCAGGGGGACCGACTTTTGAGTTGACTTTTTGACTTTTGATTAAGAACTTAGTATTTTCTTATGAAATTGGTTCCTTTAGCCTGTGTTGATTGTATCAAATTGTTTGTGGCTAGATTCGAGACATTTGGAGGCCGTTTCGCGAGGCAAGGGCTTGTCGGAGTAGGGATTTGCACAGTTTGAGGTAACTAACACTTCTAAACTTGGTTCTGAGGGTATGAAACCCCGAATTTTGTGCTGTTGGTCTTGAGGTGAGCATGTGCTAGGTGACGGGCATGTAGGCATGAACCATAAGAATTGTGACTTGGTCGATTTCGTGGAACCGTATAATTGAATAATCCTGCTGTTACCCGTATTTTCCCCATGTGCTAGAGCAATTGAGCTGTCAGTCATGCTAGAAATCCTGCTTAGGTTACATGTTGGTACTGTTGGGACCCACAGAGGTCGTGTTACATGTTTAACTATTTACTTAACTTGCCATTTTATATTCAGTCACAACTATTAATTGTATATTATATCTCAGTCTCAGTTGTCCGTATTGGTACATTATACCCTCGTTGTTTGGGCTGATTATCCCGATACTTCTGAGCCTGAGAGGCTGGAGATATTTAAATGATTGAGTGAGGCTAAGGGTATATTGTCAGTGATATTCTTGGGATCAGGTTGCACGCTGCAGCAGAGTTTATTGATTCGTCGAAGATTTGGCTTATTATAGCGCTGGATTGGCCCCTCCGGAGTTTGCACATCCATAGTGGGCACAATGCTAGCCGATATTTACATCTGGGCTAGATTTGCCCTTGCTTATTTGTATTTGGGCTGGATTTGCCTTGGTTTATTTGCATTTGGGTTGGATCTGTCCTGTTCTGTGTTAGGTTTTTTTGTAAAATCTGAAAGCATGTCTAAATTCTTGTACCTTTACTTGAAGACCATGAATTTCTGAGATATCACTGTCATATTTTCAGTACCTTTCCGTATTGTTAAATGTTGAACGTGGGCTGTAATATTTGAACTCTTCACTACTTTCAGTCCAAATGTTTGAACTATTACTTATTGAGTCGGTTGTACTCAGCTAACCCCTGCACCTCGTGTGCAGATCCAGGTGCTCCTGTCATGGCGGCGGCTGATTCACAAAGACCAGGCATTCAGAGATCATCGAGGTAGCTGCTTAGCGTCCGCAGACCTTGGATTCCTTCCTTATCTTTCAGTTTATTATTCGGTTTTACTTTCTAGACAGTGTACCGGACTATGTAGATGCTTATGTACTAAGTGACACCCCGGTTTTTTAGGAAGAATTTATGTATTGAGTTATGATTTCCTATCCTGTTTTTAAGATATATTCCTTTAATTAAACTATTTTAGTTTCTCGCAAAGATTAAAAGTGTTGGAAATGTCTGAGTAGTCGGCTTGCCTAGTTCTATGATATGAGCCATCTCGACGGGTTGGTTTTGGATCGTGACAGAAGTCGTACCCATATGTAAGTGTTTCGGCGGTTCCCTAGAAAAATTGGACGTTGCATTATGATCGGTATTAAGATTTGTTAATATAGAATTGGAGATACAGGAGTTGGGGGTGTGAACTTTATAGTTGAGAGTCTTTAGTACTGGATGGGGTAGTCGATTGTGTGCTTTGATGCATCGTAGTACTAAGAGTAGATTGGGTAGGGGTATAACTTTTAATAGGAGGTGCACACGAAGATGAATCATGGTGTTCCATGGTAGGGGAGACGTCTGTGTGGGTAACAAGAGAAGTTTGTTTTTTGATTGGTTGGGGGAGAGGCTTGCAAGGAGACGACAGAAAAATCTGAAGAGATTGAGTAAGTAAAGTAAGCGTCGAAATTATTTAGTGAGGTGTCACGCAGGGTAGTAGTTTGACTGGTTACTTGGCCAGCTGTAGGGCCTAGTTGTTGACGTGGTGAGGCATTGTAATTTTCAGCATCTATGTTGGAAATAATTGTGGAGTTGTAACTATTTCTATATCTTGAGTACATGTATCCATTATGTGGGTCCCTGGTGCTAATGTAATGGGCTGAGTATTAGTGGGTTGGTCTAAGAAAATGTGATGTAGTTTATGTTTGGGTTCAGATGAAAGTTCTTGGACCGAGTTGGAAGATGGGAACACAATGGATTTAGTGGTTGGGCTTATAAGCCCATCCCTATCAGAAATCAAAGAGACATTATGGTCGCTTAAAAATAAAATGGGTTGACATTAACTATGTTAAGGCCAGTTTATCATGTTTGTGAGAACTACTGGTAGGGGCCCAATTGCGGCCGATATGGTTACAGAATTACCTGGTTTTACCTGTGTTGTTGATGTGGCTGCCGCCTTAAATTGCAGTGCTACTGGATAGTGCCAAGGCGAAGGGAAGCGTTGGTGTTCCGGCGACTCACGCTCATTATGGCGACCTTTATTTCTTGAAGTAGATTTTTTAGGAAAAAGTAACAGTTTTCCATTCCTGTTCATTGGTATTCAGAATTAGTTTTGATTAAGATGGATCAGGGGAGGTGATTGGTATATGATATAAATGGAGTGTGAGATTGTATTGATAGTTCCAGTTTGCATGCCCAAATAGACCACATTTATTGCAAAGGAGGTTCAATCCCTCATACAACATGACTTGTTTACGAGAACCGATATGTATGTGAGTTTTGAGTGATTTTTCCAGTGTTACATCAATACAAGTACAGGCATATCGGCCCCTTGTAGTCGCAGAAGTACACGTATCAACTTTTAGTAGTTCCTAGTTTGTTTCCCACTCTATGAAGAATTTCTAAGTCATAGAATTCAGTGGGAAGTTCTGGCAATATCACCCAAAGTGCAGAGTACATTATATGCGTATTGGAAGAATTAAACTTTGGTTCCCACCTTCTGACAGAGAGAACGTGATTTAGTATGAACCATGGCCCTCCGTGTAGAGTTGTGTGCATATTTTCTTCATGTTGAAGTTTGATAATAATGAAGATCAGAGATGAGCTTAAGCTCGACCTTCAATGGAGGAATAGAAGGTTCTAGAGAAATGCTCTCAATCTGTGGATGAGAGAAAACAAAGCTTTATTTATGAAAAGCTTAAGTGATTACAAGGCTAACCTCCTATATATATATATACACACACACACACGGTTGTAACTACTGCTACACTACTTACTTAAGCAGCTAAGAAGGAAACATACACTTAACTACCATTTCCGTAAATTAGTTATAACTAACTAACATACGCACATGCTTCTTCCTTCAATACTCCCTCTCAAGCTAGATGGTGCGAACAGGTTGAGCATCCCTAGCTTGTTCATCAGATACTCGTGCTGTGATCTACCCAAAGCCTTGGTAAATAAGTTTGCCTCTTAATCCTTTGACATCACATATCTTGTCTTTACGATTCCTTGTTAGATTTTTTCTCTGATAAAATGCAAGTCTATCTCTATATGTTTCGTTCGCTCATGGAATATGGGATTTGCAGCAATTTAAATTGCTGCTTTGCTATCACAATTTAGATCAACTGGTAAGTCAACTTCTGCACCCAATTCCCTACAAAGTCCAGTCTGCCGCATAATTTTTGAGACCCCAGCTGCCATACTTCTATACTCAGCTTCTGCTGAACTTCGTGACACTGTGCATTGCTTCTTTAACTTCCATGACACCAAGGAGTGCCCTAGCTTTATTACATATCCTGTTACTGATCTCCTAGAGACTGGACAAGATGCCCGATCTGCATCACAGAATGCAGTAAGTTTGGTCGATTGATTTGAGCTCATCAGCAGTCCTTGTCCTGGAGCACCCTTTATGTATTTGACTACTCTGACTAATGCATCCATATGTGAAATTTTAGGGCAATGCATAAACTGATTAAGTACATGTACTGCATAACATATGTCCGGCCTTGTCATTGTGAGATACAAAAGTTTCCTTACAAATCTTTGATAAGGTCCTACATCTCCTAACTTCTCATCACCTTCATAGTTGGTTTGCTTGTCATATTCAGTTGTAGTGAATCTCTAATTACACTCCATTGTGCTTGCTGGCTTTGATCCTGTCAATCCAAGTTCACTAATCAACTCTAGTGCAAAATTCCTTTAATTCATCAAGATACCTTATTTTGATTTTGCTATCTTAATTCCAAGAAAGAAACTCAATTCTCCTAGATCCTTGATTTTGAAGCTGTGTTGGAATATATCTTTTGCCGGTGAAATCATAGTTTGATCATTCCCAGTGATAAGAAGATCATCTACATACACTAAAATGATTACCATTCATGTGCCCATTCTTTTAGTGAACAATGAGTAGTCAAAATGACTTTTTTTAAGCCTGAGTTGATAAGCGATTCAGTCAGCTGTAGGTTCCACTATTGTGAAGCTTGTTTCAAACCATACAAGGATTTGTGTAGCCTGCATACTTTCTCCCATGTCTAGGAAATCCCTATGGCAAGCACATGTGTACCTCCTCAGTCAAATCCCCTTGGAGAAATGCAATGTAAATGTCCATTTGATGTAGAGTCTAGTTATGTGCTACAGCCAATGCTAGAACAACTCTAACTGTCACCATTTTAACCATTGGAGAAAAAGTTTCTTGGTAATCTAGTCCCTCTATCTGGTTGTACCCTTTTGCCACTAGTCTTGCCTTGAATATTTTTATTTCACCATTTTCTTTGTACTTTATCTTGAACACCCATTTGCATCCAATGGGTACCTTGCCTTTTGGCAAGTCTACTAATGACCAAGTGCCAATTTCTGTAAGGGCATTTAGCTCTTGATCCATTGCTTCTATCCACCTGGGGTCTGTTATTGCTTCCTCATAACTGATAGGCTCTTTGGTGGCAGTGAATCTAGATAGAAAAATCTGATAGCTGGCTGAGAAAGCTTGATGACTGAGATACTTTTCCAAAGGATTTCGGCAGGCTGCCTTTGCTGAGTGCTTTGCGGAAGTGCCTCTACATACATAATCCTGCATCCATATGGGTTCCTTCACTGTTCTTGTTGATTTTCTTAGTTTCTCTTCTCCTCTATTAGGCCCAGGGTCTATTAAAGAAAAAGCTGAATGATCTTGATCATTGACATGTGCATCAGGTAATAGTATTTGTTGAGAAAGCAAATTCTCTCCCTTTGAATATTGTTGTGAGTCTACTGATGGTGAAATTGCAGGGGATGGAATCACTGTTTCTGGTGTTACTGCAGCTTGTGTTGGCTCCTCAGTTGATGTCTCTACTTTGGGGGAATCAGTATATGAAATCGCATCATTGGGAAAAACCTGTAGCCTTCCTTCCTTCAGCAACTGGAAAGGGAAGATGTGCTCCATGAATTTAACATCCCTGCTAATAAAAAATTGGTTGGTCAATATATTGTAGAGTCTGTATCCTTTCTGTGTGGAGGAATATCCCATTAAAACAACTACAGTAGATCTGGCTACAAATTTATCACCTTCTCCTATAATACTAGCAAAACATAGGCAGCCTATGATCCTCATGTGTTGCAATGATGGTGGTCTTCCATATAAGATCTCAAATGAAGACTTTCCTCCCAACAATGATAGAGGAAGTCTGTTGATCACATAAATAGCAGCATGAACACTCTCCCCAAAACTTCAAGGGTAGATGACCTTGAAGTCTTATTGCTCTAGCCACTTCTAGGATGTGTCTGTGCTTCCTTTCAACCACCCCATTTTGTTGTGGGGTATGTACACATGAACTCTGGTGGACTATACCAACAGATTGAAAGAGACATTTGCACTCAGAGTTGAAAAACTCAGTGCCATTATTACTTCTCAAAATCTTGACTGAAGCATGAAATTGTGTCTTTATTAGAACAAGGAACTATCTCAAACATACAATCACATCACTTTTGATTCTAAGCAAGTAAATCCAAACCATCCCACTACAATCATCAACAATAGTAAGGAAGAATCTAAAACCATCATGAGTAGGTATCCTATAAGGACCCCACACATCTATATGTATCAAGTGAAAAGGTTTATCTATATTGGAGGAACTCTTAGGAAATGGCAATGTGCCTTATCTAGCTAAAGGACAGATTGTACATTCCTTTATTCTATTACTACTTGTCTTAAAACTCATGTTTGGAATCTTTTTCACCACCCTATCAGGAGCATGCCCAAGTCTACCATGCAAAATCTCCAGATCCTCTTCTTTTTCATGACCATTTGCTATTTGCACATCTGCAATATTTGCTTTAATTCTCCTATGCTACAGATTGTATATCCCTTCCAGCTCCTTACCAATCCCCTTCACTTTCCCAGTGGTAAGGTCCGGCATTATCCAAAAATCAGGATAAAAGGACACGAAACACCTTAGGTCCTTTGTTAATTTTGAAACTGATAACAAATTGTATTTGCAAATGAAGATCAGAGATGAGCTTAAGCTTGACCTTCAATGGAGGAATACAAGGTTCTATAGAAATGCTCTCAATCTGGGGATGAGAGAAAACAGAGCTTTATTTATGAAAATCTTAAGCGATTACAAGGCTAACCTCCTATATATACACGGTTGTAACTACTGCTACACTACTTACTTGAGCAGCTAAGAAGGAAACATACACCTAACTACCATTTCTGTTAATTAATTATAATTAAATAACAGACGCACTTGCTTCTCAAGTACTTCTTCCTTCAATAGATAAGGAAGAAATTAGAGCGGAGATCTATTAGAGGTAGATCCTCTGAAGGTTTCCATAGCATAATAATCTTATTCTTCGGTAATTGGTGTCCAACTATTTTGCCAATTTTTTTAACAGTGACCGAGAATTTCCATAGGGAGTAAAGCCTTGATTTGTTCGACTGAGAGACGAATGAATGTATCTAAATTATCTGTATTGATACTTTCATCTGTAAGATCGACTTCATCATGGATTGATTGATAGGCGGTGGGGGTAAAGAGGATGGTTGTGTATTGGAGACAAGTGTTTGTAGGAAGGAATTTTGTTAGATGTGGGAGTAGGATTGTTGATTTGCATGAAATTGGTGTTTGGTGGATCTGTGTTTCGAGAGGAGTGGTCGTTGGCAAGAAGAGGCATTACCATCTAAGCACCACAAAACTTATTCTTTACCAATGAATTTGATGGACATTCTTTCCTAATTATCAACTGAAAGGTGATTCATTTGCTTGTTCAGAAAGATTATATCTTTGATTTCTAAAATTAAAAATTAAAGGTTTGAGCTTGACTAATAAACTAAATTAAAGAATTATTCACATAAGAGTCAAAACTAGAAAAGGTGTGGTAACGTAAAGAAAATTAAACCCAGAAAAAATGGTCACCTTGATGACCATAGAGTCACAGTCCCATAAATTTTCACACCACAAAAATCAAACCCTACAAAGAAAAGACCAAAAACTTGAGAATCTTTTCCTGCAATTTAACGAGCTAAAAAGAGAGCGTCGAAAGCGGTCTTTATCAATCAGGAGGAGGTATGATGATGGTAGAGAAGTGGGCTCAGATTTTATCGTTTGTTGACGGAAAAGGTACGATGGTGGTGATACTTCATTGGATTTTTTTATGCCTATACACTATTTGAAACCTTATTACGAAAAATGTTCATGTTTTGGTATTTACCCTACCTAAACGTATTATAGTTACAAATATATACAAATCCACCTTAAAAGGCTCCTAATCCATTATTTGTGCCTTCAATCAAGGGATTTAGTTACACCCTTTTCCTTCTTTCTCTCCCCTTTCTCCTCTTCTCTCCAAACAGAGTTTAAGTGTGATAGAAATTGCCAGATTTCTATCACAATTCAATTGGTGATGTTTGGGTTTGTTACGGACGACAAAACGAGGAAAGATGTGTGGTTCTTTAATAATGCTTCTTTTTCTTTTTCCTTTCTGGTTAATTGCTACTCAATTTGGAAGGATTGGCTTTTGGGTTGTTTGTTGTGTGCAAGTTTGTAATATAGGGCTAAGAAAGTTGTGTTGTACAGCATAACCGTAAAAATTGCACGAGGCGCCCTATTTGGTCGCCCCCATTTAATCTATACCCATTTTGTTTTAAAAATTTTAACTTGTATCCACTTTTTAAACAACTTCAGCCCCCTTTCTCCTCCTCCTTCTCCTCCTTCGTTTTCTTAAGATATTTTCAGTACGATAATACAGGTTAGCATCTGGTCTTCATTGGGAGTTGGAAAAACTAAATTTAAGTCCCAATAAATTGATGACGACTTATCAACAACGATGAATCAACTAACATAAGCTGCACAATTTCTTTTTAATTTTTTTCACATTTTTATGTAATCTTTTTTTCTTTGAATCAAATGGATTGATTTGTGGGGTTAAAGTAATAGTTTCACTTTATATCACTTAAACTTAATGATTATTTGATTTATTTCCACTGAAGGCACATTTTTCTAATGTAATTACTGATCTGCTCCATAAAAACGTTCAAAAAGAAGAACAAAAAAAATAAAGATCCAATATAGTGATTGTATGGTTCAAAAAACTATATAAGCTTTTTAAAAAACTTCAGCTTATATAGTGCTGAAGGTTTTACAAATGAACTAAATAACTTCAGCATCTTCTGTTGAAGTTTTTGAAAAAGCTTATCCAGGACAAAAAAACTTCAGCTTATTAGGTGCTAAAGTTTTAACAAATGAACTAAATAACTTCAGCATCTTCTGCTGAAGTTTTTGAAAAAGCTTATCCAGGACAAAAAAACTTCAGCGTATTTAGTGCTGAAGTTTTTACAAATGAACTAAATAACTTCAGCATCACAAAACTCAGCTACTAGAATGCTTAAGTTCAGCAATTACAAATAAAAATTTCAGCAAATAGAGAACAAAATTCAGCACTAGAATGCTTAAGTTCAGCAATTACAAACAAAAACTTTAGCACTTGGTTCAACAATTTTTACTACTTCAGGCCCGTCTACTAGAATGCTGAAGTTTTGCGTGATTGCCTTCGCTACTTCAGCCCCGTATGCTGAAGTTACACGAAAAAGTGGGTACACTTGCAATTTTTTTTACAAAGTGGGCACAAGTTAAAACGTGACCCAAAAAGCGAGTATAGATGCGCAAATCCCCTAGCATAACCTGCTCAAAAGTTGTGCAAAAAACAATATGCACTTATATTGTTCTACGTATAAAGAAAATAATGAGCATCTATATGATCCGTATAAAGACTTGAAGCAGAAATCCGTTTTCCCATAGTCTAATGGTCCTTTACACCAAAAACTAAGAAATAAAGTAAAAAATCAGACATATGGATGGGATAGTAGTGGTCGATATGTTAATTTCAATGTCGACAAAATTGTGATAACTCGGAGTCAAGTTACGACGACGCATTACTTTCAGCTATTACAGAGCATCTATCAATTGATAATGATATACAATTACAACTTTCATACATTATTTCTATCTAGTTATATACAACTATAATATCATACTACTTAAATATAATTTTTATACAAATTTTATACAATATATTTTTTGTATATTTTGTATCCAATTTATACATAGTAAAAATAAATTTCATACAACTAATTATATACAACTTATCTACAACTTTCATACATTATTTCTATCCAGTTATCCAGTGACACACACACACACACACACACACACACACACACACACACATATATATATAAACAACTTAATACAATTTTTTACAATTTTACTACAATTTCTGCAGTATAATGTGTGTCATATTTTCTTCTTCTTCTTCTTCGAGTTTCAATATGAAATTCAGCCAAAATCAAGTCTAATCTTCACCATAACTCAAAATTGAGATATAAACTCCAAACCATATTCCCAATTGTTTGCAACAACACCCAATCTAAACAAATAATGGTTTTTAAAAACCCAAGTTCGAATTCAAAGCTTCGAAGCTTTTTAGTGGCTGTCAATGGTGGAATTGCTGCTCTCTTTTCCTTAGCTTTACATTACTGAAATCAGGGATTTAGAGATAGAGAGAGACGTAGAGAGAATCCCAATTCTTTGCAACAACACCCAATTCAAACAAATAATTTTTTTGAAAACCCAAATTCGAATTCAAAGCTTCAAAGCTTTTTAATGGTTGTCAATGGTGGAATTGCTGCTCTCTTGTGCAAGATACGTGTCCGGGAGGGGGGGTGGGATGTGGAGAGAGAAACGTGGGGGAGTGGGATACGGAAAGAAAAACGCGGGGGGAGTGGGATTTGTACGTTATAGTGAATGTAGGAATTGATTAATTATCCTTAAATCCTAAAAATGTACATAATTGGTAATTTTGTATATAGAAGGTAATTAAAGTGAAACTTGAGCAGGGAAGGTAATAAAGTTTCCAATAGTATATAAGTATGTAAAAATTCCTACCTTTTAACTAAGAGTATTAGATACTTCAGCTCGGCATTGCCATTAATACGATGTAATTAAACTAATCCCAATCTATACTGATAAAACTTTCAATCGAGTGGCTATCTCAATCAGAACTTTGATGGTATCATTTTTTCATTTTTTGGTACTAAAGTGAGATCAAAAAGAAATAAATTATGTAAAGTGGTCTTTTATCCCTTTACAATCTAATTGAGTGATGTGGTTATGAAGTAAAAATAGTACGGGCTGGTCAGTTTTTGGATTGGTTATTTAAAAATAGCCAGCGTTTGTCAAGTCATTGAAAAATAATCATTATTTTGCTGCAATAGAGACTTGTCCAGCATAATATATTGGAGTTCGGTGCACCTGTGTATGAACTTCCAGCATATTATGCTGGAACTCCAACACACGGAAAGTTCCAGCATAATATACTGGAGATTCGAGCACTTGTGTATGAACTTCCAGCATATTATACTGGACCGATATACTTTGCTGTAACTCCAGTATATTATGCTGGAGTTCTAGTGTACTTATGCTGGAACTCCATCATATTATGCTGGAGTTCCAGTATACTTATCCTGGAATCCAGTATAATATGTTGGAGTTCAAGTATACTTATGCTGGAACTCCAGCATAATATACTGGCGTATTTTCCGGGTTTTGAACAGTGTTTTCGCTCAGATTTATCTTTACATGAAAATTGGCTAAATTTCGATTAATTTTGAAAGCGTGACTATTTTTGAATGACCACTTGTAAATCTGGCTATTTTTGAATTTCTCCGGATTATGAACAATTAAATGTAAGCTAACCAATTTTGTAAAGCCCAAACTACATACTTGCTAGCAATGGCCGGATTTGATCTTCTCAACGAGAAAGAACAAAAATGTAAAAAGTGAAGAAAAGATAAAATGAAAAGTTAAAAGAAAGAAAAAAGAAAAAAGAAAAAAGAAAAAAGAAAAAAGAAAAAGGAAAAAAAAAATAGTCGTCTCTGGGCTTTCACGCGCTGCACATTTCGTGAAATACCATAAATGTCACCTAGGCTTAAAATATGGTATTTTTACAACTTCAAATGACTATAAGGGGGTTATACGGACCCCCCCCCCCCCCAAAGCTTAGGTGTTCAATTAAGAATTATGGACAAGTACATGGTAGTATTTGTGTATTATCCCTTTTATTATAAAACTAGTGCATTAAAGTTTTAGAAATTTTGACCAAATTAAAATCATTAAGCTTATTCTCGGTAATCTTAGGAATTCTACATGGCTGTTATAGAGGAGTAATTTATAAAGAGCGTACTGTTATAAAGACTATTGTTGTTGTTATACGAAAAAAGTTATCTTACAGAGATAAAATATAACAAAAAAGAAATCGATTGCGCGAAAAATATTATTCTTATAATAAACGGCTATAAAATATCGTTTTAGAAAAGTTTGACTGTATAAGGTATGTTTATCTTTCTCTAGAATATAGCTGGATATTTTTTGTCAGTACCTGTTTATATGCAAAGTAATCAATATGTCAGTTAGAGAAAGACATTTTTTTTACTTTTTTTTGGATTACTCTAAAGTATACATTTTAGTCAGTTCTATTGACAGGTCAACCGTTCCACGTGCTCAACGTGCGCAACAATTTGATACTATAATGTATGAGTATATTCATATTAGTGCACGTGTCTCTTCTCAAACTCAATATAACTATTATCTGCGTATAAGGTAAGTTCACCATTGTTTTTGTCGCTACCTGTTTATATGCAAAAGATTCAATATGTCAGTTAGAGATCGTCTACATCTATCAGATTTGACCAATACAGCTAAAGTCAAATTTTGTTCTACATGTTCCAAAACTTGAATTGAAAAGAATATACATATTTTTGTCAAACTGAAGAAAATGTGTAATGCTAGAATTGATGAACTTTCAGTATTACTATATGAGTTGTGAATAATTGCTTTAAGTACTTTGTGCAAAGGGTCAATTGTGTTAAAATGAAATAACCAACTTTTGAGTTGTTGCATATATGAGAAAATTGACCAGGAAAAGAGTTGAATTTTTAAAACAAAATTGATACTAGTAAACTTGTACTACTAACAATTTGTACTGCAAATCTTAGGCTGGTGAAAAAGTAGAAGCACATTGTCTTCATTAGGAGGAAATAAATGACATCTAAAGAAAGGAAAAACTAATAAATTTTTAGAGAGATTTTTCACTATAGTAGTTTTGCTTTTTTACAACGTCCAATTTTAGTTGCAAGGCAGTTAGTTGGACACTACAGGACATGATATTTTGGTCAAAGTCAAGTAGTAACAATTTACTTCCAAGATTGATTTTTCCCTCCTTGAGAAGAATGGTGGACTGGTTTTAAGGAACTAGAAGTAATTAAAGGAAGGAAAAAAGAAATTAATAAGAATTATTTCATATTTTAAAATAAAATCAAAATATACATTAATCCACATTTTCACTAATTCTATGTTATGTTCTTTGTTTTCTATTCTAATTAACCTTAAGCCAATTCATTTATAAAAGAGGGATTAAAAGCTCTAAACAACCACTATTAAAAACAACAACACCAAATGCTAAATATCATAAATTTTCTCTTGGGTCCATTAAAAGGGCATCCCGGTGCACTAAGCTCCCGCTATGCGCGGGGTACGGGGAAGGGCCGGACCACAAGGATCTATCGTACGCAACCTTACTCTGCATTTCGGCAAGAGGCTATTCCTCTTGGGTCCATTAACAAATGAAATTTGTGTTAATTAATTTTTAGAAGAATCAATATGTGAAAGAATCTATTCAAAATTGATCAATGAGTGTAATCTTCCACTTAAGTGTAATAATTTTCACATTTGATCCTACATGGAGCATTTAATTTTAGTCTCTCAAATCAGCTATTTTCAACTATAAAAGGCCACGACTCATTGACTATAAAACATCAACTGAGTGCAAAAAAAGAAGCATAATATAACTTCACTCTCAGTCACTCAAGTTTCTTTTTTCTTGTCCTTTTTCAATGGAGTGGCCTGAATTCCTAGAGCGCTCAAACTCCCAGGAGTCCACATTTGGTCTGTTCAGCGCAACACCTCAAGCTAATGAGGTTGTTGCGCGAGCAGATCAGTGGACTCCTGAAGAGAAACAAGTTTTTGAGAACGCTTTATCTGTGTTTAATAATCCAATTTCACCACCATTTTTTGATTATGTTGCTTCTAAACTCCCCCATAAACCCCTAGAGGAGATCAAAAAATACTACCTAGCCCTTTTCAAAGACGTTGAAATGGAAAATCCTGAACCTAAAAACAAAGCTCCTGCTACTGATGGTTATGCACTTGAACATGACCAACAGAATAATTACCAAGTGCCTCAGGATGATGATCACTCGGACATGGAGGCTGCTCAAAATGGAACACCACCTCCGGTTGAAAACAACCGTCCACGTCGCCGGCGCGGAATTCCATGGACTGAAGGAGAACACCAGTAAACTTTCGTTCTTTTTTTGCTTGTTTGCTTTTCTTTTTTTAGCTATGACTAACATATATAGATAGATAGATAAATAGATAGATAGATAGGTAAAAACTTTTATGGTTTTCTCATACATATCTGCATGTTATTTGATTTGATTTTATGAGTTGTTGCTTCTTGCATGGTAAATTTGTTAACTCCTTTGAGTTCTTTTATCATACAATCAATTGTTTCTTATTTCTCCCTTACCAATGTATGAATTCAGCTTTTCACTTTTTGTTAATCTTCAAACCTTATATAAAGTTTTCTTTGTCCATGAAAAAATAATTTTGAGAAAAAGAGAAACCTTTTGATTGTGTAACCCCTAGGCCACTGAATCGTAAATTTTAGTACAATCAAGACAAACGAATTCTTCCTTCAAGAAATTTATTTGTATTTTTGCAATTGATTTCATTTGCTTCTATTGTCCGTATGCGAGGATACAGTCACCCTTAATTAATTTCATTTTGGTGTAAGGCGAAAATTTCGGTCTCATTTTAGATTAATCTTCTGTTAAAAAAATTTATTCCAATTTTACATAGTTTGTTCAAAATTAATTTATACATAAATTTTATTTTTTTAATCCTGTGTAGGTTGTTCCTCATGGGACTCAACAGATTTGGGAAAGGAGATTGGAAAAGCATCTCAAGGTACTATGTTGTTTCAAAGACACCAACCCAAGTGGCCAGTCATGCCCAAAAGTACTTTGGTCGTCGGAACAGTGCAACTCCAACGGAGCGTCGCCGCCCTAGCATCAACGACATTCAAACCGTCACCCTTAACCCTAGGGCTACAACTGTGACGGCTCAGATCAATAATGGTAGACTTGCTTATAACAATAATAACCAAGGTGCATCGCTGCCCATGCATTATCCTTACAACTTTGGTGGTGCAATGTTTGGTCACAATTCTCATGGAAATTTTGGGAGTTTCGTTAATCGTGGTGAAGCCTCTGGCAGCAGCTCATTCAATATGCAGCAGAACAACAATAACAATCTTCGTAGGCCAGTGTCACCTCGTCCATTCCTTTCGATGTATCTGTCTTCTGCTACGAGGAACAATAATCGAGTCTAATCTTGCATTGGTCTCTATCTAGAGACGTTTCGTTGAAGAATCAAAGTATGGTCACAATAAATGGCTATGTTCAAGCTCTTTGGGGGTTAGGGAATAGGGGGTATGTGGTCTATTTTTCTTCTTTTTTTCTCAAAACAAAATGGCTATGTTCTAGCTCTTAAGGGGTTAGGGAAAAGTGGGTATGTGGTCTATTTTTGTGTTTTCTATTTTTTTCTTTTTGGTTGAGTTGAGTTGAGTTGGGATGGGGGAGGGAGTATTTTCTTTTCTTGTCGTCAAGCAATATTGAATAAAAAAATCAAATTCTAGAGTCCCAAACAAATTTGGTGTTACCAATAAAATATGAAAGTAAATTTAACTTGGTGTTGCTCTCACAAGTCACAAAGGACTATAATTCTAACCAAAAAAAATAAAAATAAAAAATTGATCTTTTTATGATTGTTTCTAAACTCGCTGTATCAAATAGGTGCATGATAATATTAGATATAGATTATAACTTTCAAAGTGTAACATTCACTTTTTCATAAAGACACCTAAATTTTACTTATAGCTAATATAAATGAAGCCTTCAAATTTTTGCTTCTCAACTCAAATATTTAGTAGAATAATTAATTTAAAATATTACTACATTAGTCTAGACTTAACTCAAACGAGAAGACAATGGCGCAATTATATGTTTAGGTCCCAAATGAGGCAAATTTTGTAGTTCATCGGGGGCTAATCTGGCTTTTTTACATAGATACCTTTAAAAAAAATTGTGGATACCTACCTTGACTTTAATTTATTGAATTTGTTTTAACCTCGTGTAATCCATTTGATTTATGTTTACTCTATTATTTACACATGTAATGAGAAAAAAAAACTAAAGCAAGAAACTAAAAGTTCGACAGGTCAACGGTTTCAAGTCCGCGTCACGGTTTGACAGTTGACACCGTAATGTATGAGCATATTTACATTAGTGAATGTGTCTCTTTTCAAACTCAATATAATTACTATTCAAGTATAAGGTAAGTTCATCATTACTTTTGTCAGTAACTGTTTATATGCAAAATAATCAATATGTCAGTTAGAGATCGTCTATATCTATCAAATTTGACCAATACATTTAAAGTCAAATTTTTTCCAACCTGTTAATTCCAAAACTTGAACTAAAGAGAATATGTTTTTTTTTTTTTTTTACAGTTCTTAGTCCCAAACGATTTTGGTGTTACCAATAAACTATGAAAGCGTGGTTCGAAAAAATAAAATATGAAAGCAAGTTTGGTGTTGCTCTCACAAGTCGCAATGGCCAAAGGATTATAATTCTAACCAAAAAGAGCTTTATTTTGTGATTGTTTTGTAAACTCACTATATCAAATACTTCCATGGAAATATTAGATATAGATCATTCCTATCAAAGTGCAGCATTCATTTTTTCATGAAGACATCTAAATTTTACTAATCGCTAAGATACAAAAAAACCTTCAAATTTCCGCTCCTTAACTCATATTATAGGATTTCTTGAAATGTTATTGCAATTTTAATTTACAAGAGAGACGCAAATGCAGTTCATTATAAACCACTTTTAACCATGAAGAGTTGTCATATCGAATAAATCAGATTTTAGATGGAAAACCTCTTTAGTTTCAATTGAATATAATTCAAGCTCTTCAACACCTTTTAATCCAATCCAAAATCAGAAGCGCATAAATGTGTAGGGTTTAATATACAATTGGAAATTTAAAAAAATTTCACCTGAATGCTACCTTTTCGGAATACGATCAATGTATAGTTGACAACTCTATATATCTCTCTCTTAAAAGTAGCAGAAAATATTATTGTAACACAAGAAACTACTACGAATATTACTACTAATATTTATTATTTATTTAGACATGAACTCGAATTGACTCACATGGAGGAACCTGAAGAAGAATTGCAAGCTTATGCATCTCTTGTTCAGATATATGACGATGGACCTGTTGTTCAAAACAGAGTTTCACCAAAATCAGGAAGAAGAATAACATATTTCTGTGTCTTGTTGCCCCCAACCTGTCAACAAGCAATAACCACATTTCCCCATCCCTGCTTCTTTCTCTCCATTGAAGAAAATTGTACTAGTTAATTACCAAGCCCCCCTTATTGGAGAAAGAACACTAGCTGCCAACAACAACATTCCCAGCGATAGTTTGCCGAAAAACTTCAACACCAAGAACATCAGCAATCATCTCTTCAGTGTCCTGGTAAAAATAAAAAGCTAACATAAGCATAACACTAGAATATGGTAAGTAAGTTGGTCAGTCTATTAAATATAATATTAGGTAACTTTCAGGATCTAACCTACTCCTGAATCTAACTTATCCTTAAGGAAAAAAGAGGCTATTGCTGAATCTTGACAAACTCAGGCTACAGTTGAATCTATATTCAGGTCGTGACAAACTAAAAAGCTCGGCGTGAGTATATGGTAATTATAGAATATGTTTAAACAGCATAAAGTACAGCAGATGCTCTAGTATAAGGGAAGCATAACATGAGGAAATGAATAAGCCTTGCACTAGGAGAAGTCAATTCAAGAGGATCAGGACTTCCAAAGATCCTTTCTCTACTAACTCACATCCTAACATACTAATGCCACAAAACATCACAGTTATCAAATCTCCCTGCTCTAATTTTAACAGACCGCTTGTGTATCATTTGCAATAAGATCTAATAACACATCTTTAATAGTGTTGTCATTAGACTATCATTTTAACGGAAATTATAACTGGAAACATGAAACTAGTAGAGACATTGCTGGATATCATTGATCACACATTTTCAATCAATAATCCTAATTTTCCCATCACTAGTCCTAACGGCTTGTCTTCTCTAAATTCAGTTCGCCAATATTTTCTGATTCGAACACCTCATGCATCCCATGACAGCGGTGGGGGCATATAGAAAGGGAATTCCAGATATGCTACACTAAAACTATGAGAAGAACTAATCCCAGAAAAGTACTTTAAGAATGGAATAAGATTTGGTTGGAGTAATGCTTATCGAGATTAAAATATAAGATGGAAAAGATTAGCATAAGCAGTTTATAAATTGTCAATATTTTGTTACTAATATGACTTAGAAATGACATCCCTGGGCCAAGACCGTTTGCAGGAGTTCACAGCAATGTTGTAGAGCAACTACTCAGTAAAGTGTTTCTTCTGATCCACAAATTCGAAGCCATAGCAAGTTCAACTTATATCTATCCCCCAATATATAAATAAATAAATAAAGCTTCTCAAAGGCTCTATTTGAATACAGGCGACTAGAATGGCATAATTTTGCATTGCACACAACAAAATTAACATTAGTAGGAACTTCCATGTTAACACTTGAGTATTTTCTACAGTTCAGAATTCCCAAAATTTAGCTGTCGTCTGAAATCCTAGACTAATCCTGAATTTAACCTTTGATATGGTCAAGTTTAGACATAGGCAATATAGTTGTCATCTGTGTTATGGTTGTCATCACATAAGTAAATCAACTTAAATCCGTTCCCATCCATAATCAGTGACTATGTCAAGAGCGAGTTCATTTGCATGACAAAACCAAATACAGAACTTAATTTAACAAGACAAAAAGCAATACATAGACAGAGAAACCTAAGTAAGAGGAGATGATCAAACAAACAAAAAGCACATAGTGGCACCATAAGATTTGACACTTTAATCCAAAGGAAAAATCGACATAAAACATGAATTTCCACATATAAAGCACTTATCTGACAGCAAATTATTCTCAGAGGTTTACAATGGTGAATTCTTCCAATTTATAGTGGATCATATTGCGAAAGATGAAAATAAAAAAAATAATTAAAACAAAAAGCTAAAATACACAGGATATAACAAATTATGTTATTACCTTGAGGGGTAATGGTGTAAGGCAAGAGAAGCCCATTTTTGTTTCCTGCAGAAAATTGGGAGATGGAAACTAAGTTCTCACAGAAAAATCAGAAGGCAAAGGGCCTTAGAATATAGTCAGAATAGTTGTTGACTACCAGCGCAGAGTCTTCCGACTAGCCAGCTTCCATTAATGGATGTTTTAATCGCTGGAATAACATCTTTGAACTCATCCTCAAATGTACTGGAAGGAAAGCACACAGATTACGACCTTTTCCATTAAACAATTCCAGTAAAAATGGAAGGTTCAACTTTTTCCAGAAACAGGAAATTGAACATGAAAGACACCTGTTCTAATCACTACTTTCTTCATTTTTAATCTTGCATTCTTACTATATTCCTGCTTAAGTATTTACCTTACCTTCCTTTTTTTGTTTATAACTGCAGCTTTCCCAAATATTAAGAATGTATACGGTCAAAATTGGGCTTGCCCTTTTTGTTAGACTGATCGAGGCTGGAGCATGATAAGTCAAGGATCGGCTTCGATTTATATCAGACTATGGTGCAGAGTTAGATTGTCAAGCTCGAGAACCTGAGACCGATTAAGATCGAGACCGACCAAAACCGAGACCGACTAAGATTGAGATCGACCAAGATCGTGATCAAATAAGATGGAGATCGAGGGAAGCTTACCGGGTTGAATAACGGAAAGACAAAATATCCGCAATCGGGCGAGGATCGCGGTGCAAATCCCGGCAAGAATCAAGAGGAGGTCGATTAATTAGCTAATCATGGAATTTCTTACTGTATTTAGAATTGTACCAAGAGCGGGACTCTCCTACTATATAAAGGGCGTCTGATCATTTGTAAAACACATCACATTCACGTTACATAAAGCAATATACTACTTTTTTAAGCTCTCAATATTTCTGTTACTTTGTTCATACTTTCCGGCGAAATATTCATTCGATTCGAGGGCAACCCAGCTCAAGGATCGAATCTATACATTTCATTCAGTTTGCTTTATTTATATTTGCAGTTAACTTTGGTATCAAATATGTTTTCTCCCAGTTTGTGCTAAGTAAATCACGTATCCTTAAAACCACATTACAAATTCAATTGTTATCCATTTTTAGGGTAAACAGTTTGGCGCCCACAGTGGGGCTAAGGATCATAGTGATCGCCTGGTACAATTTTCGTAACACACACTATTTTACGCTTGTTCTTTGAAATGTCTTTGATTACAAGATTAAAAAAAGTCAAACTCTCAGTCAGCACCTCAACACATTGACAATGATCTCAGCCACCACGACGAGAATGAGAACATTGCACCAAGAAACGCTGTACCCCCTGCTGGCCTCGATGGAGTTCCGGCTGTAGACCCAATCGATGTCAGTTCACATGTAGCCATCAATGGAAATGTGGTCGTCGATTCCGAAAGCAGCGTTCGTGTGGGGTACCCGATCAGCAACTCAGAATGCACATGGCGGTGAAGATGGCGGGATTAGCCTGCGGGTAATCTTCGAAATGTTGCAGGTCTAGCAGGCAGCAATAGCTCAGCTCCAAAATCAGAACCACATGCCAAGCAGGGTCGAACTCGAGCCATCCCAAGAAGTTGTACACAGGGTCGAATCGGCTTCGAGAAAATCGAATGAGAAGGAATCGATGACCAATCCTGCTATTATAAGAATGCTCGATGAGTTGACAAAGTGAATCGAGACCGGGGAAAAGAAGATCGAGGAAAACGATAAGAAGGTGAAAACCTATAACTCTAGGGTCGACCAAATCCCGGGGGCACCACCGATATTGAAAGGACTAGATTCCAAAATATTTGTACAAAAACCTTTCCCCCCCAAGTGTGGCTCCGAAGCCAATCCCCAAGAAGTTCCGTATGCCCGAGATTCCTAAGTATAAACGAACACATCACCTCATACACGTGTGCTATCAAAGGAAATGACTTGGAAGATGACGAGATCAAATCCGTCTTGCTGGAGAAATTCGGGGAGACTCTATCGAAGGGTGCTATGATATGGTATCATAATTTACCGCCTAATTCTATTGATTCGTTTGCATGCTTGCAGATTCTTTTGTAAAGGCACACGCCGGAGCCATTAAGGTTGAAATAAGAAAGTCAGACCTTTTCAAAGTAAGGCAGAAGAACAACGAGATGCTTAGGGAATTCGTATCTCGATTCATTTGCCACCGGTTACCGACGATTGGGTTGTTCAAGCTTTCACTCAAGGCCTCAACGTTCGGAATTCTATAGCCTCACAGTAGTTGAAACAAAATTTGATCGAGTATCCAGCTGTCACTTGGGCTGATGTACATAATCGGTATCAATCGAAGATCAGAGTCGAGGATAATCAATTGGGGACTCCTTCCGGGTTTGTTTACCCTAACAGGCCCATGGATAGGCAAGAGGGATATCGACCGAGAACCAAGGTCGAATAAATATCAATATCAACCGTATAACGGAGACCGTAGAGGCAGTGGGTCTGGGCGAAACTTTGCACGGAATTAGAGGAGAAATGATCGAGGTCAAAGTTCACGGGGACTCATGAGCAAGGGTGGTTTCGACAGGGATGCCGGGACCAAAGAAGCGCCATAATTGTCGGAATATAACTTCAACATAGATGCATCCGCCATCGTATCAACCATCGGGCGCATCAAGGATATTGGATGGCCTCGACCTCTGCAGACCGAACCGGCCCAGAAAAATCCCAACCGAATATGCAAGTATCATGGCACCCATGGCCATAAAACAGAAGATTGCAGGAAGCTAAGGGAGGAAGTAGCCCGATTGTTCAACGAGGGGCACCTTCGGGAATTCTTAAGCGATCGGACCAAGAATCACTTCAAAAACAGAGATTCCAGTAGACAGAACGAGCTAGAAGAACCACTGCACATGATTCACATGATCATTAGAGGGGTCGATACTCCTGAAAGACCAATATTAAAACACACTAAGGTGTGGATCACAAGGGCGAAGCGTACTCGGGATTATGTAACGGAAGGAACCTTGTCTTTCAATGACGAGGATGCAGAAGGGATCGAACAACTCCACAACGATGCACTTGTAATATCTGTACTTATGAATAAGACTCAAGTTAAACGTGTTTTGATTGATCTAGGTAGCTCGGCCAACATAATTCGATCGAGGGTCGTTGAACAGATCGGTCTACAAGATCAGTTTGTACCCGCGGCCCGAGTTCTAAACGGCTTCAATATGGCATGTGAAACCACCAAAGGCGAGATAACTTTGCCAGTAAACATGGCTGGGACCATCCAAGAAACAAAGTTGCATGTGATTGAGGGTGATATGAGGTATAATGCCCTATTCGAGAGACCGTGGATCCATAACATGAGGGCAGTGCCTTCGACCCTTCACCAGATTCTAAAGTTCCCAATGCCAGAGGGAGTCAAAAGAGTCTACGGGGAGCAACCCGTTGCTAAGGAAATATTTGCCATCGACGAAGTGATACGAATATCGGCGCTCTCATCAATGAAAGGATCAAGCCCCTTCATTGATACAATACAATACAGGTAACAACCACCCAAACAAGTTGTAATTCCCTTCGATTGAGTATTAATGGGTTCTCAAAATTTTACTATTTTTTTCCGGAAAGAACTGAGTATTAATGATCGAAATGAGATAAAATTGAAGGAAATTCAAGGTTAACCGGATTTACAATTGTTAAATAAAAATTAATCATAATATTAAATAAATTATTATTTTTTCATGTGAGAGTAATATTTGAACAAGAATATCGAACTTAAAAAAGCGCAAAGACTCGCTTCTTTATCATTTTCACTTTCTTTGAACTCCATCAAAAGCCGAATATAAAATTATACGATCGTGTCTTGTTTGAGTTCCAATAATGTTTTCTTGGAGATTCCAGCACATATGCTAGAATTTAAACTTCTAATAGTTCGTGATGAATGTAGAGCGCATGCAGAAGAATAATCAGTAAACATCCAAAATGATCTAATGTCAAGAAGCTGAGAACAACCTTTCAGTTAGTCCATAATTTGTTGAGTATAGTCGGTTGAAATATTGAGTTTTCTAATTTATTGCTATTGCCTTCCTTCTAGAGTTCCCAAACTGAAAAAATGACTCACTTCTTTATCTTTTTTGCTTTCTTCGAACTCGAGCAAAAGCTGAAATTAGAATTATATAATTGTGTCTTGTTTGAATTCCAATATTTATTCTTGGAGTTTCAGCATAATATACTAGAATTTAAACTTCTAAAAGTTCGAACTCCATGATGCTGAGATTCGTATATAGAGTGTCTTGCTTAAGGTCCAACATTTTTTCTTGGAGTTCCAACAAAATATTATAAAATATAATTTCTAAAAGTTTGAACTCCAACATATCCACATTGTTTGACGATATAGTGTTATCCAACCAATGCTATCATATAAAATTGAATGAAGATATAGTTTCGATTAAAATTGCAGCCAAACGTCTACGTTCAAGGCCAATTGAGACCGTGTAAGGCGTTTCAAAACAATTTGTGCTAGTTTTCCACTTTAACTTACCATTCGGACATTTCACCAACGAACTAAACTTCCAAGAGTATTCTAAATCGAACTTATTGATGTTTTGTGTTAGCATTAGCCAAAAAAAAATTACTCTAGGTAACAGGTAACTTGGGTCATATGTTCAACGATCAGAAAATATGCATGCAGGTACAAATCTAGGTAATTGAATATCCTTCGCGGAAAAATATTTCGCAAATAGCAAAATAATTTTTATTAGATAAGTTATTGAATTCCCTTAATATAATCGAATGTTCTAGTTTAAAGACAAATGAGGGTCAAACAATTTAAGATCATAACATCAGATCTTAGGCTCTTATGTGAATTCCAGGTTCCGCCACTATTAGCATATGACAGGAAACGTCTAAATGTTTATCATTCTTCAAGAAATTCTTACATCTATTTTCAAAAGATGTTTGTTTAGGAAGAAAAGTATTCCAATTCGTTTAAACATGAGGTTACTTGCTAATTAAGACAATCCTACATAAATTTAACTTTTATTCTGATAATTGTTTCGTTAGTGAGACGATTTTCTCGCCAAAAAGTTCAATTTTTGTGATTCTTCTCTTCAATCCGTCTGTAATCGAGTGGAGGATGTTCAATCGTTGTTGAAGTATCCTTGATTCAAAGCTTTAGTGGTGATTTTTTGAGAATCCTCGAACTAGGGTTTGTTGCGGTTCATACCCAGTTTGGTTTCATCTTCAAAATTGATTGTGCTTGATATTTGAAGGTTGTAACTTCTTCAGGTGGTGAAGAAGGGAGATAATTCTAATCTATTGCTCATA